TGGGGAAGGAAATGGGGGGAATAAAAGGCAAAACATTTAACGGACACAAAAATGGAAAATTGCCTGCTGATAATAATGTGTATGAAAATATGTCTGGACCAATAAGCAGTGCATTCAAGGCAGCAAAATTCATTTTGTATACTGCAAAGACGTACAGTGATTAAATGTAAAATAAACAAAATAACTTTTAAAAAAGGATAGAGCGCTCGGCTCTTTCCTCTGCTGTCCGTAGTTACCAAAGAAAAATCTGCATTCAGTGTTCTCACGTCAGGCTGTACTTCTCTTTGACACAATGTAAAATCAACAGGCAGGGAAAGGAGTAAGATTGGGTTACTTCTGCAGAACTCATTGGCTGTGATCCCTACATCTCTCCAGACGTTGAGCAAATACTGTAATAAGTTTCAAGGAGAGGCCAGGACACATCATAAAAAAAAAATAATACTGACCAAAGTGGAAAAGCAGGCAGCAATCTAATGAGTGGTATGATAGAGTGCCCCAGATAATTATGGCTAAAAGGATCTGCCCTGATTACAAATCAGTGGCAAATAAGAGAAGCAGACTTTTAGAGGCAGACCCTTAAGAAAAGCTCCTGAGCAAGGAGCCCTCTTCTCCGAGTTCCTACCAGCAATGAGCAAAGTAGCTTGCATCTTGCAGAAACTCAGTAAAATGGATACAACGGGATGAGGCAGGATTTCCTTAAGAAATTCTCCACAGTGCAGTTGGAGCAATCTTTTCAAATTGCAAGGCGTATCATGTTCTCGTCTTACTTGAAACATTTTCAAGTGCTACATCAGATTTTTTTTTTTTAAGAGAGATTTTTGCTATAGGGTGAGTGCACTTGCTGGAGAGGCAGAAAGGAAGTCAGAGACCAAAGCAAGAACTCACCCACTGGGAGGGATGGCCATGCCACAATCCCTTTTCCTCCATTCTCTTCTCGGGATTTTGGGCATGCATGCACACACAGCCCACGTGAGTTTTAAGCTGCCGGGTCTGGCACTTGAACTGCAGTCTACTACACTGAAGTCCAGCAACATAACCATTACACCATCTGCTGATCCCACTACATCAGATTTTTAAGACCCTCCATAGTGGCCTCAAAAGCTCTTTAAGGTCTGGGACCAGAAGTTAACATAATGGCTATGTCGCTGGATTCCCAAGTAGTTGACCATAGTTCAAGCCCTGGACCCAGTGGCTTAAACTCACGCCAGGTGCGTGTGTGTGCTTGCCCAAGATTCCAAGAGGAGAATGGAGAAGGGATTGCAGTGTGGCCATCCCCCCTGGGGGGTGTTTTTTCACGTTCTGTCTCTGTCTCTCTCTGTCTTTTTGGCAAGTGCACACGCCCTATAGCAAAAACCTCTCCCAAAAAAAAAGAAAAATAAATAAAGCTCTTTATGGTCTGGCCTGGCCTCTGTCTCAGTCCGGCTGCATCTTGTACTATGCACACATACCATCACTTCAGAGTCTGGCGATCCTTGTTCTATATTCCTCAAACCTCCCGTGGTCAGGACGCAGAGAAGTGCTGGCCCCTCCACAGTCACCTCTGACCCCAGAGGAGCGTTGGCTGACATCTCCCCACATCGAGGCCTTCCAAGCACTGGGTCTGTCTTTCACGCCTCATGCCACGTGTCTCAACTACTGAGACATTCCAGGGTTGTTTGGGTGTCACCTTTTCTCATGCTAAGCAGCTCTAAATGAATAAAGACCAAGTCAGGGGTCAGGACCCCAACTGCAGTAGAGGGTCTGCTGCGACCTGGGCATTCAACTCTGGCTCGGGGGACTAAACGGACACTTCCAGTGACCCTCCGCCACCTAGTAACGGACCCGCGAGTGCTCTTCCCAGCAGTGGGTGCACTTATCCTGGGGTTCAAACACGTGCGTTTTCCTTTTGACCACCCAAGAATTGCAGAAGGAAACTAGGGACAGTGCTTCCTACTAGCTCTTTTGGAGTAGGGGTGGGGAGGGTAGGAGTTCTCAACCTGAGATTGGGGAGGAAGAAAAAGCTAAAAACAATCTCCCAGTAAAAGCAGTTCAGCTTCATGCCAAAACCACAGGAAATCCTACACAGGCTGATCTAAAGCTTTACCTAATAAAGTAATTTTAAACCAAGGATTACTCATAACCTATAAAAAGTGGCCTCTGACTGGCAAATACAGGTCTAAATAACTTTATTTATAAATGTATAACTCTATTTATAAATTTATATTTACACAAATATGTATTTATTCATTTTTGAAACACTGTATGATTTTGATACATAAATAAAAATGTAAACAATTCTTTTAAATTTTTAAACACCACACCGTTTTGATATATGAATAAAAAATATAAACAGTTCAAAGTAGTAGTCCAACATAACCACAATTTTTTTTGTTTTTTTACTTATTCCCTGAGGGTTAGACCAGCAAAGAATCATACAAATACTTAACCACGTTCCCCTTCACGTAAATAAAACATAAAATCACTCCATGAAAACTGTCCTTATATTTCCCAACTTCAAAACATTTTCTCCCATAGGCAGTCTTAAGAATAAATATCTAAGGCTTTGAAATAATGCATTAAAAATTAACATTGTGATGTTCACTCAGAATCATCAGTGAGCATGTCCATGCATCAAATATAAGACATGTCTATGTGTGATGAAAATGAGAAGCCAGGCCAGCAGGTGGCACGGTGGTGAGGGGGCTGGACTCCCATGTGGCCAACTGTAGTTCGAGTCCTGGACCTAGCAGCTTGAAATGCATGCCAGACATGTGTTCATGTGTGTCCAAAGTTTCAGGAGGAAAATGGAGGAAAGGGGATTGTGGCATGGCCAGACCCCCCTTACTGTCTCTCTCAGTATTTCTTCACCAAACGCATGTGCCCTATGGCAAAAACCTTTAAAAAAAAAAAAAAAGAAAGAAAGAAAGAAAGAGAAGCCAGAGCCATTCGTATTGATGTCCAATGTGCAGGCAGCTCGATTTCCAGTCCTGTTGCTTAAAAACTTGGTCACATACACAGGATGACTCCTTGGAAATGCTCGATGTCTATATGTCGAGAGTCGGAGGCACCGAGTTAGAAATCATGTATCCCTCCAGAGCTTTCATTTGATATAGTTTAGCCAAGTTATGTGATTCTTTTGCGTTGATAGCAAACAGCCCTCTAGAAGCACTTAAAACTAATGCTAGAATAATCTAGATCATAAAACTATAAAGAGAGGTTATGGCCTATGAAGTGATAAGAAAGCAGCACTGGCCAAAGAGTCTGGAGACTTTGCGTAAGATAATCAATTTCTCTGGGTCGCAGGTTCATTGCTCACTCGCTGAATGGTATTTTTGGATTAACCTTTAAAATCTGCTTCTTTTGCATCCTTCTGGTCAAAGTGACCTTATTCAGAACCTAGCTATAATAATTAGAAGCCGGTGTATCTTGCAGCACATACACCTTCCTGGCTAGGGTGTCTATTGGATTGTCGGGACAGTTATGCCGTGTTTTTCTATGCTTTTCTATGTGAAATGCATCATGACTTTTCTGAAGACCCAATGGCATTTAGTTCATATGTGAGCTGCACAGTAAGAGTCTAGCCATGGGCCAGCCCATGACTTAGTGGTTTAGGGGGCCTGATCCACATGGCCAACTGCATGGTTCAAGTCCTGGACCCAGAGGCTTGGAAAACATGCCCAGTGTGTGTGCATGCTCCAAATCCAGATAAGGGAGAAAGATGGAAGAAATAAGGGATGGTGGCATGACTACCACCCATGGAAGAGGGCATTTTCTCCCTCTCCTCTCCCTCTTCCTCTCTCTCTCTCTCTGTCCCTGTGTCTCTCTTTCTCTCTGGAGAGTGCATGCACATTATGGGGGGAAAAAAA